ATATACAGTACAAAAAGGTACTGCACATCAGAATGTAGTACACAGTAGTACAGAAAGCTAACCCATTCTGTACAGGTAGGGGCAGTATACACACATTTTGTACAGATAGGGGCAGTATGCACACGTTTGGAGGCTCGGGGTGGGGTACACCATTCTATACAGGTAGGGGAACACCATTCTGTACAGGTAGGAGCAGTATACACACATTTGGAGGCTCAGGGTGGGGTACACCATTCTGTACAGGTAGGGTCAGTATACATACATTTGGAGGCTCAGGGTGGGGTACACCATTCTGTACAGATAGGGTCAGTATACTCCATTCTGTACAGGTAGGGCAGTTTACACACAGTTGGAGGCTCCGGGTGGGGTACACATAGGTAGTATGTAGTCAATATACCAGCCAGTACACAAATCTTACAGGTAACACACAGTACACAAATTGTACAGGTAACATACAAAACAGATTCATACACACAAGTAAGGCAGTCAACAGAACTCGGGTAACTTGTACATCTTCAATACATGCTCTTTATTCTGAAGCTACTGTGTTGTACCAGATTCTAAATCATCTTCAATACATGCTCTTTATTATCAAGCTACTGTGTTGTACCAGATTCGAAACCATTCCAGTCAACACCACTGTTAAAAGGTGTCTTCCATACAGGTAGTATTTCTTGTTCCAAAATTTTTAAACTTAATTTTAAAGACATACATTAATTTTAAACACACCAAAAGGCAATTTCTCATTAAAAACCTATTTGTGCAGTAGCACCCCAATGTTAAAGAAAGCTATCCCACCCCAGATATTTAAATTATTTATCCTTTAACATGCTTAATTCATTTCCAGTTCAGTAAGAAGTCTCACTATATTATCAAAGAATTTATAATAGATATATGCAAGGAGAAATGAAGCTTTGATATTGTACAGAAAATCTCGGAGAATCGTAAGTGAAAATGTCACTGTCGCCATAACACGCATAGGTCAGTGACCTCTTTACTTAATACCTTTTAGAAGTGGGATTATCTTGGGCGTCACAATATGACTGCCCGCTGATAACCTCAACCAAAGCTCTTTAATTTGGATTTTTCAAGCAGAACATCAAGGATTGAGAGATATTTTATACAACAAAACATATCATGAATATTTTTATCTTTTGAATTCAATGCTGGATATTAATGTTACCTCATAGTGTTTTTTGTTATGTGGTCATATACAGAATGTACAGTGTGAATCAGAATATCATTATCTATACACAATAACAACATATCAGGGAAGTGTTCAGCCTACTGTCAACAAGTAAACAGGATGCTGAACAGTTTATTCCAATGATATCATAATGCGAGAAAGACTCATCCGGAGTGTTTTTTCTCCTTTACATAAAACAAATTCTGGATTTTTGTTTTACCGCAATCCATGGTAATAAGCCTCTTTGGGGCTTTGCAATTGGGGGAAAAATTGTAGAAACTTCTAAAATTCTTGCCAAACTCTCCTTTCAATTATGTTAGTTAATAATGGGGAATATAAACGGGATTGATGGTAAGACCAGGAAAATGGGAAGATACTTTTAAATAGGATGGAGTGCTAACTAGGTCAAAAAAATGGGAAGTGTCACTTTAAACCCTGTCTATTCTTTTGGCAGACATATAAACAGAACGGGTATATTCTAATGACAGTGTATTCTGACTTGAAATGTTTGTCCCTTACTTTGTTCAATTTAGTCAGTATTTCCTGTAAGTTACATGTTTATGATACAGAATTACTTGGATGAGCAGCAGTTTTGTGTATATTAACGGGTGCTGAAGCTCCTGAACGTGTTCAGTAGGACCACCTGCTAACATTATGTCTGATCTGAAAGATTCATTTTCATGTTTACAATCATTAATACACAGACACAAACATAGACAATAGGACAGTAACAAACACTGATGATAGAACATATCAGTAACTTTCCTACACAGCCCTGTAACACAGAAACAAACAAGTCTGTTTAGGAATAAACAGCTGGTATAAATAGCTAACAGGTGGACAGTAAATGCCAAGGTCAAAACAAGTGGAAAAATTTCGTTCTAAAATTAAAATTATCAACACTGATAATTATAATTTCAAAGTATGCATTTCTTCTGAGGATTAAGATCATAAAACTGATTTTGTTGTAAAAAAAACAATCCTTTTTGATAACATTTTCAAGTCAAAGTTTAATTATCCTGGAGCAAAGAGACAATCATGTCAGTACAAAGAGGTCTGGCAATGACATTTGATTGGGTTTGTATAAATCAATTTAAAAAATCACTTTGAAAAATCTTTTATTGTGTACGTCAAGTTTTAATCAAGACTGTTTTTGATAACATGTGCGTAACATGAACAAAGTTCAAATTTAATCAATGTTAAGATGAAGGTTATGACTGGAGTACCTGAATTTGAACAACTACAAGCCTTTTGATGAAGGTTATGACTGGAGTACCTGAATTTGAACAACTACAAGCCTTTTGATGAAGGTTATGACTGGAGTACCTGAATCTGAACAACTACAAGCCTTTTGATGAAGGTTATGACTGGAGTACCTGAATCTGAACAACTACAAGCCTTTTGATGAAGGTTATGACTGGAGTACCTGAATCTGAACAACTACAAGCCTTTTGATGAAGGTTACGACTGGAGTACCTGAATCTGAACAACTACAAGCCTTTTGATGAAGGTTACGACTGGAGTACCTGAATCTGAACAACTACAAGCCTTTTGATGAAGGTTACGACTGGAGAACCTGAATCTGAACAACTACAAGCCTTTTGATGAAGGTTACGACTGGGGTACCTGAATCTGAACAACTACAAGCCTTTTGATGAAGGTTACGACTGGAGAACCTGAATCTGAACAACTACAAGCATTTTGATGAAGGTTACGACTGAAGAATCTGAATTTGAACAACTACAAGCCTTTTGATGAAGGTTACGACTGATGAATCTGAATTTGAACTACAAGCCTTTTGATGAAGGTTATGACTGGAGAACCTGAATCTGAACAACTACAAGCCTTTTGATGAAGGTTATGACTGGAGAACCTGAATCTGAACAACTACAAGCCTTTTGATGAAGGTTACGACTGGAGTACCTGAATCTGAACTACAAGCCTTTTGATGAAGGTTACGACTGGAGTACCTGAATCTGAACTACAAGCCTTTTTATGGCCTCTTCACTTTAGATGTGATGATCCGTCATTACCCTTGTCCTATTTCATTAGTCATTTCTTACTTAAAGCCAATATCTTATATCTTATACTCAACTACACGATATCATTATCATACTTTAAAGCCAAGTGGTTAAATATATTTTTCTTGTTCGTAAATAATACACCGAAATATCTAGTTTTAATCTTTATTATTACTAAATAGAATACAATATATAAACTTTACTTTTTTCACAACAATTATGAAACTTTTTTTCAATTTAAATTAATCATGTGCAATCTTATTGGCGTGGAAGAAGTTTGAAAGGGTGTAAACACGGAAGGAACTTACCAGAGTACCTAAGAAAACCTGCATAGTTGAGCAGGTAACTCTATACCTTTTCATGTTTTATCTGGGAGTTAAACCCTGGAGCCATCTTGGTGAAAGCAAGTACCCTATCCCCTGTGTCATCTGATCACTGACTAATTAGAATACATATTCACAAACAATCAATACTTTACACTGTTACAATAATTTGCCCCTAAACTGAAAACTCTACAGGAAGAAAATACATTTATGAGGAAATTTTAATGGTCATTTTTGAATATAAAACTGCAGGCAGATTTTTACAGGACTAGCTCCACCTATATTTTGAGTTATTTTTTTTTTTATTAACACCTGACATGAAATCTTCAAACCCAGGAGTTGAGTAATGGTACTCCTGTACATGCCTGCCTTTATACACATTTATGTCAGACCTGTTTTGACTTTAAGCCTGGAAGTAGATAGCAAATCTGAAGATTGATTAAACAAAGTTTAATCTAGAATAAACTTTTAGGATATATACATTTGTAGGAAAATTTGAGGTTTACATGTATAACGATGATTTTATCTGAACAACATTTCTAAAACACCATTAATCCTGACTTTTATGTTTTTTTAAAAACTAGGCTTGTTTCATGAATCTGAACAACTACAAGCCTTTTGATGAAGGCAATTTGTTTCATTTCACCGGTAAATCAGCATAATCACTTCAAACAGTCTCCAACAAATCAAATCTATAATGGCAATTTAAAGTTGATTTGATTTCATCCTACAGATAGTAGCAAATAACAAATACTTTTTGATTTAAACTATTTATATCAACCATTCCTACTGCCAGAACTACCTGCAATAACATCAGGAGAAACAACTGATAGAGTGATAAAACATGTATATGGAAGGAAAGAAAAATGTGGAGAACAACATTGAGGTTCTGGGTAGTTGAGAAACTCAAGCTAGGATAAAAGACTAAACAAAACTGCTACGATTATAACGACTGAAGGAATAAGCATGCTGCTATTTGATATGCATGAGATAAACTTTTCCCATTTTTAGAGTAAGCCTTTTAATATGAAAAATCACATTTGTGAATAAAACCATGTGTTCCCTTTATTACTCAATTACATAGGATAGATACCATCTTTACCTATCTGTCTGTCAACCCTAGGCTTGGTATTTACAAATCCACCCCCAAGTAAATTTTAGATAAGCAGTCGCAATGTTAAAGGTTGAAATTTGTAAGCAATACAAAAATAAAGTTTTGCAAACATAGCAACCCAACAATTGAAAACAAAAATCCACATTTACAATACAGTAAACAGTGCCAGACTGGTACCCTAAATTATGTTGATTTCCTGCAGTGGGTGGGTTAGATCTATCGGGCAGTAGGTGGGTTAGATCTACCGGGCAGTGGGTGGGTTAGATCTATCGGGCAGTGGGTGAATTAATCTGTTAGAGGTAACCATATTAGTATTTAATCCACACAGATCAGACTTTAGATGCATAATACATTACCTAATCCACATGTACGGGTTCTGCACACTCTTAGTCTTGATACTGTAGTAAAAACAGTAGTTTCTTGATCAGTATAACAAAGAATCACTACACAGGGGAATAGGGCAAGCACGGTTCTATATGACTGATTCTAGCTTTCATGAGGCAGATTATTATTTTTTTGTTATCAAACAAAGCTGCGGATGTAAATTTTGTACTGATGAGACCACATTGAAGACAGACCCCCCGCCATGTTATGCTTTTGTTGTGTTAAGGTAGACATAAAGCATAGCTGAAGGATGAGTAAACAAATTTGATATACTGCTTCATGTTTTTGATTTCATCTCTGTAGGATCCCCAACTTAAATTAAGTGTGCAGTCTTAGCAAATAACTGAACATATCTTTCATTGTCAGATGACAAGGCTGTTATATAAAGTCTTCAAACAAGATTTTGAAGATGCGATATGCAAGATTAACACAACCAAGTTTATATAAGTAGAATGTCAATGGCACTTTCATTAGTTACACCTTGGATCACATCAGACTCTGGGGTTTATGCTCCAATTCTTAACATTCATGGGAATAAGACTTCGATAAATGTTTAAGCTTTTTTTTACCAACATTCACATTATATTTCAATAATGACCATGTATTTAACTGGTAAAAGTTTAAAAATTCTTGACTAAAACAAAATGTGTGTACGTTTAAAATTCAAGGTTACCTATATTCTACCTACAGTAAGCTACACCAGATGGAAGTCATCATCATAGCTTACTGTGACATCTATGTAACCTTGGCATTTTTATACACCCACCTGGTATTGAGTGCCAGTAGTAGTTTGCATGTATAATTTTTAAGCATGCAAGAGTTATTTCCCTTCTGTCAGAGTTGTGTTCAATTTTCCAGATAGAGTTGTTCCCCTTTAGTCAATGCATGAGAAAGCTCTAGCCTCAAGATTATAGTCTCCACAATTATTGTCAGGATTAATTAAAAACAAGGTTTTTGTTATTTATCTTAGTTTGAAATTGTTTAACCTACCTACAAACTTCATGTATCTAACATGCTGCAACCTGATTATTCCAGATCAGTTTAACCCGAGACACTGAATTATTCAAAGTATCCCATCTACCATGCAGTACCATTGGATCAAATGCTCAAGCTTGATCAAATTACCAATAGATTACATATCAAATGACAACCCCCCACCTCCCCCCAGCAGAATTAAATGTTATATATACATGAAAGGTTGAACACATAAACTTTCACATTATATACCTATAAAACAGGTGCTTTTCAAATTCCTCATTTATTTTTACCCCCAAATTTTTCATGTACTAACCTGACCTATTTAACTCAGTAAAGAAAATACATAAATATACTCCTGATCCAATATCTGTTTGGAACCCTGTCAAAATCACAATTCTTTCAAAAATTAAATAGGTAAAATGTTGTTTATCCAATAATAAGCCATCATTTCAGGAGGCTTGTTATAAAATATCTGTCAAGACAGCCTGGTTAAACAATAGGATGACAAAATCTCAAAGACTATCAAAGGAAGATTGAAAAAAAATACAAAAAAAAATAAGCAAAATCTCTTAGAGCAAGGTTTATTGGAAAGATGACAACCTTTGATCTATAAGTTTCTTTTAATTCTTATCTTGTTGATATGTTCTTTTTTTTTGTTGCTCTGGAGTTGTCTCCCTTGTACTTGCAGCCATAGCCTGAGTGATGTGTATTAGGTATAATGACAAGAGGAAATAGAATCATCAAATATTCAAATAACATTACTGGAAGTAAGGTAATCAGTATTTTGAGAATAAATAATGAATCTCTTCTTAGGACAAAGGAGAGCTTTGAATTTATACAGACTGATAGGAATATAATCAGTTGATAATTCTGAACACAGCCATGATTTTGGATTGATATCACTTAATTTCTTGTCATTAAATCATCAAATGGTTTAGGACTAAATATTGAAACAGATTTAACAATTTTCTTCAGATCATTTCCAAAACTTGCAAAGCAATCTAAGATAAAATATTCTGCATTAAAAAAAAGACACTAATCTCAGACAGATTTTAATCTAGAACAAGCTACAAAACAAATCTTTATCAGAAAGTGTTCATGTAAAGAGAAATAATAAGATATTATTAGTTATCTCTGGGAAAGGAGGGGTCCAAGGGCTCATAGACCCCTTCTAACCCAGAGATAACAATTTTGTCACCCTGACAATCTTTTATAACTCTTTTCTGCAAAGTTATAAGTCACTTTGTGAGTTTGAGTTGTACATGACTGCTACCAAAATAGTCCCTACTGGACACTTTTTCGGCAATATTTCGGACAATACACAATCATCTTTGTAATTAGCACCCTAGAGGCCCTCTCATTGCCTGTTTCATTGAATTTGCTGTCAATTAAGTAGGCTATTTCATCCTGTGAATTAAAATAATTGGAGGTTCTTGTATATACCGCTTTATCACAACGTAGATCGTAAATCGTCTCAAAGCGGTTCACAAATTATTATTCGTGGTTATAGGACCTTTGCAACCAGCCAATACCTTTCTCAACTCCCTGGGGAGCATACAGCCAGAGCTAGCATTCAACAATTCTAGAACTGCCCAACCACGTACTCATTTACAGCTGAGTATACTGGAACAAGCAGAGTAAAGTATCTTGCTCAAAATTACAACACAGTGAATGATTGGCACACCACCAACGCTTGGGTGTGTGTCGGTGCCATCTTTGTTGCTATGAAGAGAGATTGTAGTTTGAGTTATCTCCCCTCACATGCGCTTTTTTAGACCCCAGCAGAGCGGGGTTTATAGAAATATAGACCCCGGCGAGACATCCAATCAGAAAGAGTGTCACAAATAAGAAGGGTGTCATTTATCTCCCTATTCTGTAGACAAGTCAGGTTAAGATGCACTGTAGAGTCGCACAATTCGTAGTGTTTCATTAGGAATCATTCAAACCAAAAGGCAATAATGCAAACATGAATAGCATTTTTAATGCTGCAAAATGATGACCAACATATCAAGTTTACAAAATTAACTATTTTTACATTAAAGTATAATCTAGAAATAAGTTACTGGTTAAATTCAGCGTCCGCAACATGTTTTTTTTTTAAGAGCAACACAAGCTGAATCACCAAAGCAAGTGTTAATTGTGTACCACTTATAGTTATCTAGATTTAGATTGAACACTTTTTCTCTATGAAGAAATATAAGGAAGTCATCAGGCGTAAAATGTAGGTCAAATTCAGCATCCCAAACATGAATTCAGTAGTGCAACCATAGCTAGCTGCCTCATTGAGGCAAGTATTAATCAGATAATCACCCAACTCTCCCTCCATTGTAATAACTGTAAATGCCAACATCAATATAGAAATTCTGAGTAATACAAAACTAAATTTAACTCTATCATTAAGTACATACGTGTTTTGAGAAGTTTTAATGTAATTTATTAGTTGCATTTTACCACGCCATTTTACAGCCATTTTACCAGCCATTTCACCGGCCATTTAACAACCCATTTTACAGGTATTTTATTGTTAATTTTTGGACTTCATCATTGGTAACATCTTGTTTACATAATGTCACTTACACCAGTCAATTAGTTGGACACCAGTAGATTTCTGCAAGGAATAGTGAATCGCATAACTAAACAATTTAAAGATTGATTATAAAATAATAACATTCCTTTTGGAAAATTGCTTAAAATACAGATATACTGCGTCATAATTATCAACAATTTCTTAAAACTTCACCATATATTTATGGCTCTAGTTTTTGTATGTCCACTGCCTACAGTAAATTATATTTGATGTTTCATACTGGAGATGTTTCCTTAAGGAAATCCTGGACTAGTTACATTCAGCAATACAGTCCTCTGGTCTAGCCAGTGTCTAACCTTGCTGTAGTTTTAAATGGTCTCGTGTAACATATAACAAAATTGTAATCACATTGGAAGGGACATAACTCTTACTGATGTTAGGATTTGAGTGAATTATGATTTGTGTGACAAGACAGAAATATACAATACATATTGTCAGAGTTTCGATTACAAATGTCGCCTTAATAGCAGTGCACACCAAACCTGTAAAGTTAACACTTGTTATGAAATATACAACAGGTCACCAGTCCATGACCGATGTAGACACATCTCTGTCATATCAAAGCACGCCATTGAATATGCCACTGATGATCAGGGAGTATATATTTGGTCAACACCCGACGACAGAGGTCGGAAAACAAAAATTAACATCACCTGACCTTATATGAAGGTTGTTCTCTCCCAAAACTTTAAAAGTTTTCCAAAACATAATGACAGCTAAAACCCCAGGTGAGAGGATATCTAAATTTCAACATTGGAAAAATACAATTTTCATCTAATAACTTTCCACATCTCAGATAGTTGACAAACTTAATATTCCAAGCTCTGGTTCATAAATATTCCTTAGATTGAAGGGACATCACGTGAAGAGCTATATTCTTTTTAATAAATATATGTGTTGTATGCACTTCCTCTTATGTTACCTCGCTATCCCCATATTCATAGTCTGTTCCAAATGTCAAATTTGACCACTTGAATTGTTCCGGACAGCCCTGTTAAAAATAGCGCCAATAACGTCACCTAACCATTTTGAAACGAGGCAGGAAACACAGGTGGTCTGACCGAGATGAAACATTTCTTAAGGGGCCCCCAGAGAGGGGGCCGTTAGGCAACTGCAACTTCTTACCGCACTATGAAACTAAGTAATATGATTCCGTGTTCTGTGTTGAAACTTATTGTATCATTAATTATTCATCATCAGAAGTTAATTGCACACTTGCCATTATTCAGAATTTAAATTTATTACCGGAATGTGACCGGTACAGATGGTACGGGCTAAACACCTTCCCTCAACCATGGTACAAACCTTTCTGTAAAAAGGAATATTCACGAGACGAATATCCCTTTGAAATGTTTTCATAAAGTGTATATATAGAATGACAAGTATAAACTAGAATTATGTAGTCAGTGTGACATTAAAGCCGCTCACCACTTTAAATTTAATTGCTTC